ACAGTGGAGTCTGATGTGCTTTATGACAACAGCAGGCTCATCTCCACAGCTGCGTGTCCATAGCTGTGAGGAGCTCCAGCCATGTGCAGGACTTCCATGTTCTTAAACTCTCCAAAGATCAAAGACTAAAGCAGGTTTTAATTATAGGCCTGACACTGTCTTAAGTTTAATATGAACCAGGAGCTCCCTCTGGGCAACCACTCTGCACTATGTCACCTGATTCTGCTGACAAAAAGCAACATAAGTTTGTATGTTGGAGACACTACGGCTGGTCTGGAGCTGGGAGATGATCAGAGAATCTTGACATAATGGTTTTAACTTTTCTCAAATCTGTATTAGACAGCCTAATAATAAAAAGGTTATTCAAACATGTGTAAATGAAACACAACACAGCTCCAGGTCTGTTTTTGATGAGGAAACAACATTACCGTATTTTCAGGACTATAAGGTGCACTTAAAATCCTTTAATTTAAAAAATTGACAGTGCATCTTATGTATTAATTCAGGTTAAGTTTACTGACCTCAAACCAATTTTATGTGGTACACGGAGCTCAAAAATCTATCAAAATGTTTCAGTACGACTTTGTTAAGTTATGAAGACGCACCGCTTGATGGATTGTCAGAACATTACGGCTACTGTAGTCAGGAGCCTCACGGAGTAAAGGGCGAAGCATAGTTCTGCATCAACTCAGCGCACACTGCTGCTGTCACTTTGTTGCATAAAGAAGACATATATTCCACTGAGTTGTGTCCTTTAGTCTGACAAAAGTTGACTGCATCAGCGCGCAAGGAGCAAGCTTTTTTTCCAACGCTCATAGTTTAAGCAAATTAGCCATGTGGTTTTGAGTTTTGTTTCAGTAAAATGTAAACAGATGTGTGCAAAGCTGCATTAAACACATTATTTCTCAATGTATATTTGAGTTCTTCTCGTAGGAAATAAAAAAAAAACAAACTTAAATGATCCACCCACGTTCACATTCATAATATACATTCACCAAGACAGGGAGGCAACACCGGGTGAATTACGCCACGATCTGCCAATGGATCGTGCATGTCTGGGCTAAGGATCAGTCTCAAGTGTCGTCCATTTATTTCACTCAATGCCCCTTATAATCCAATACACCTTATGTATAAAAATAAACGAGAAATTTCAACATTACTGATATTGCTCCTTATAATCTGGTACGTTTTATAGTCTGAAAAATACAGTATAACATGAATTAAAACTCACAAGTGTCAATTTTGTATAATATAGAACCTTTAAAGTCTTAATGTTCAATAGAATAGAATAATCTTAAAATAATCATTAGTTGCAGCCTTAGTTCATATCTCTGTTCTTTCGCTCTCCTCGTGTCTGCAGACTGTGGCTTCTAGACTAACCGTGGGCCTGAGCCGCCTGCGCTACCACAAAGAGACTACTCCCAAACAGATTATGAGCTCCTTTGCAGCAGGACCGAGCGCCTTCACCACAAACCTAAATTACAAAGTGGCTTCTCTTCAGAGCAGTCGCCTTTGTGTGGAACTTTCCCTCGTATCGAGTTCTGGAGTTTTTTTTTTCAAACACCACTTCAGTGTGATTTCACATCAGAAGCTCTTAAGGATCATTCAAGTGTGTTAAATACAGTTTATTAACATCTCCTCACAGTGTGGCCCGGTCTCACTGAGTACAACTTAAGGAGATTAATACTTTGGTGTTGCTGTCATACGTTTGTGTACATTTTCATTTATGTCTTTCACATGATGGATTATTTGAATTTATTAAAGACTTATTGTGCTTGTGTCTGTTCTGTAGTTATAATCTATGACATCTGTGGGTCATTATGTTAGAAATTGGACATTTTAAAGTGCAATATATATTTGGGGACAAGATAAAAATGCCACAAGATTAGGCACACATGACAAAAAATAATTTATTCCCCTTGAATTTACATTTGGCTTGGACAAAAAAGAGCTAAGAGCTGGTGAGTTGTACAATTTGAGAAGCTGTAGTTCCAAAAATCAGTACTGCAATGACCGCTATTATTAATATTATATAAAATAAAAATAAATAAATAGTAAAGCCAGAATTGTCAAATGGGCTTGCACTATTTATTTATTATAAATTGTCAAAATCTCATCTTGTCTTGTTCTCATGGACCCGATCTCGTGGTCACTTCCTTCTTCCTACTCCTTTCACCTGATATCATTAACTTCAACAATACGGTAGCAGACAACTAGCCTGAATCATCAGCCGGTCTCACTTTGTGGAAACCGTCTGACTTCACAGCATTTAGGATTCGTTCGCTCGACAGTAGACGGGTACTTTTTTTTTTTATTTAACCAATCACTGTTATTTGGTTGTGAAGTATGTAATGCACCAAATCCCGTAGGAAGAAGGACAATAACGTCTTTCCCCTTGAGAAAATTCACCAAACATTCTCTTGGTTCCAGCTTTAAATCCTCAATCTCTTGGGAATCATTACCAACACAGAATGTCCGTCTTCGTCTACATCCATCTCGACCGCTTTGTTTACTGTTGTGCTGTACCACAAAAGGACCCAGACAGATGCTTAAGTTTGACGTCATGACTTCACAGCTCTTCTCTGATTGGCCGGTGTGCCGTCTACAACTTACGGTGTTCTTGCAAACCGTCTAGTGTATTCCGATTCCTGACCTAGTCGCTGGAGAGAAAAGGAATTGAGCAGAGGCACTAGGCATGCACACAAGAGTCTGACACTAGTAAGTCAGAAGATTACATGGGCAATTACACTGGGAAGCCAACAGTCTACATTAATTAGTGATAGATTAATTTCTTCATGCTTTATAGTGTTTATATGGTGAAGTCTACAGGCACAATATACAACCCAAATAATAATATTACTCTGCAATGGACAACTAATGTCTGAAGATTAGCTATTACTGCATTTTCAGTGTTTTTCTGATGCCAACCCACATCTTTATAATGAATTCACCAACTTGATACAAGCAAAAACAAATATATAGTTATTGTTACACAGTCAACTAGTCAGGATTAGTCCTGGTACGAACTGTGCAGGCCAGACTCCATTTTATTCCAATGATTCATGAGCTGAAACCACAAGTGAAACCCATCCTCCATCATAATTAAAACATCTGTATAATGCACATCCAGCTATATAGATAAATATACGTTACTGGCAAATTAATGGAGTGATTTGAAGCGAAATACTGTTTGGGTAACTTGACTGACTGGAGACATCCCTGCCAATCCTGACCACTCTGGAAATCTGGATTCGATTTGTGGTGAGATTTCTTATGGTCAGAATAAGATAAAAATGCACTGACCCTTTAAAAATACATGTTAGTAATACCAACTATAATCTATCATAAGGAAACTATATTAACCACAGAGAATCAGTTTCCATCAGGGCCAACAGAAGAATAAGATACAGCAGGGTTTGAGGGAGTCTGCATGTCGAGAGATTCCGCGTAAAAAAAAAAAAAATAGAAAAGCAGCTCTAACGATCTCAAAAGGCTCTATTTCAGATTGGCTGTTTGAAGTTTAAATTGCTGGTTTTTGAAAGAGGCCAATTCCGGTTTTGTGGGGGTATTCCCGAGCATTCCCGTGCAATCATTGCCAATTTCCACTTGCAATTTATGCATTTGAAGATGTTTTTTTTTTTTTTTTTTTTTCACTTTTGATACTGGATATTTGAAGTCAACAAAGTAAAAAAAAAAAAAGAAGGGTATTATTTTAGGTTTGGGTTTTGCTTGGTTTATTAAACATGACAAAACTAAATTTGAAAAAGAAGTGGGTCCTCTCTTCCTGCTTTAATTTGTGCTTTCTATTAAACTTCATTCCAAAAAAGAAAAAAAAAACAAACAAAAAAACTTGAGCATCGATTAAGGAAGCAGTTTTCAAATGTATTGATACTTTACACCTGATGTCATCATATTCCCAGGGGATGTGACGCTAACTGTAAGCACCACTCTGTCTTTATTTTAACACAATTTGACCAGAAAGAACTGATTTAGAACTGAACTACAACTACTGTTAAGCAAGTTTCTCTCAAATAACATTACAGCCACAAGGAAGCTCTCTCCTTTTTGTTGGAAATCAAACTCCTAAACAGGATCATGATGCTTGTATCGATCACAGGCTCCTGAAAATGTGTTGTTTAAATAAATTTTTTATTTTTTCTTGAGTTTTCAGATGGTCTTACATTTTTTAAGCAGTGTTTGTTGATGTGTGCATTGTGTGAACATGGTAATTTAAGAACATTCCACCATAGAGGTACATGTAGAACACCCCCAGTGTGATGCAACTGCAAATTATCAACAGAGCCAGAACACTCAAACACTTTTTCACAACGTCCGGAAGTGTATTGTTGTACAGTTGTGGAACTTCCGGTTCATGGTTTTCTGTGGCAAAATGTCCATGGGAATGTCTTGTGTATTTTCCACCAGCTTCATAAATCTACCCCATCACCAAATCTTCAACCAACAAGGTCGACAAAGGATAAACATTCTTTAATGAAGAATTTATCCACAACTATCAAGGTAAGAAAGACGAAAGCTTAAAGGCGACAATGAGCATTAGTGAACTACTGAACAAAACTAACATCATGGTCCTAGAGATGTCTCGCATTCGAACTGCACAAATCTATGTATTCTAATATCGACATCATGAAATTGATTTTAAATTTTAAATTGTAGAATCAGTCTGAGTGAACAAGTTACTTATGTTTTATTCATGACCATAATGTTAATTTTGCTCAGGAGTAGTTCGCTAATGCGTCATTGTTGTTCGCCTTTACGTTTTCGTCTTTTTTACCTTGATAGTTGTGGATAAATTCTCCATGTTAGAATGTTCGTCCTTTGTCGACCTTGTTGGCTGAAGATTTGGTGATGGGGCAGATTTACTGTATGAAGCTGGTGGAGAATATGCCAGACAATTCCATGGACATTTTAGCAAAAAAACAGAAGTTCTGCAACCCTTCAGCGGGGCACTTCCGGCCGTCTATATCCACACGTGCAGTTACCTTCTTTAGCAGCCGGGTGGAGTCCTCGCTGATCTGCATGAACCTCATGATGACGTTGTTGAGGTAGATGTCGCTCAGAGTGGCGTGGTCTTTACTCTCTCTCCTCACCTGGTTCAGCAGCAGGTACCAGCAGTTCACCGGGGACAACAGGTTCTGGTCTTTTCTACAACACAAGACACAACCATATGTTAAAAGACTGAGGAATTTGAAATATTAAAGAGCTGGGATTACACTGTTTTCTGATCTATGTTATGTTTCCTCATGACAAACAGACCTGGAGTTGAGTTTTGTTTCATTCACACATGTTTAACACACAACACTGCATATTTAAGCATATATTTATGTGTTGTTCTTGCAAACTAAAAAAAAAAAAAAAAAAAAAAAAAAAAACCTCTCCAACTCTCTGAACCTCCAACCTTCAGATCAGTGGATAAATGCTCTACCAACTGAGCTACTGCCGCCCAACTTTCATTCAACATGGAGGAGACACTCATTGTGGCTGTGGGAAATGAGACGATATTATACGATACCGGCATGAGCCAGTACAGAGACCGGAATAAGCTTAACCTACACCGCTCTATCTTCTCTCCTTTATTCTGGTCCCAGTCTCAGTCCCGTTCTGGTCTCAGTCTCAGTCCTCGTCCTAGTCCCGGTCTGGTCGCCATCTCAGTCCTGGTTTCAGTCCCAGTCTGGTTATGGTCTGGTCAGCTCGCTTGATGTAGTCCAAGTCTGCCGTTTTTCAAAATGAAAAGAAACAGATGTAGAGGACACTGCGCAGCCGCAGTTGATCCTTCTCGAGCTGAACACAGAGAATTGAGCGGATTTACTCTTGCGACCAAATTCCCAAACTCGAGCGACCTGGATGCTCAAATGAAGCGAATGACTCAAAAATGTCAAGCAGCAAACTAGGGGCATTTGATGCGATTTGTTAACACCAGACGCTTGCTGTATGAACCCGGCTTAATGCTGCACTCTAACTTTTCTGGTGAAGGACCCATCACCTGCTCGTCTCCATGGACATGTATTTGCTTTGCCTGGTATGTTTTGCACTACAGCTTATCAATGTCCATGGTGAGAATCAGGCAATGCCACAAGCCCAATATATAAGTCAAATCTGCGGAGAGGTAACCCAGATAAGTTTAAAGCCAAACCGTGGAAAATTCCATACGAATGAAGCAGTAAAGATCTCCACGGAGACAAGCATCATCGTTGGCATCATCCACCAGAGAAGTTACGTAATGCACCTTTAACCAAAAAAAGTCAACCTTCAAATAAAATGAAGTTTGAGGAGAGTGTGTGTGACAGATTATTAATAAGGCGGATATTTTAAAACATCTTCCGGGTGACTCATAGGCCTCCCTCGGCGCTTAATGGCCCATATATTCCTGGTTCGGGGCCCAGAAAGCTCTCAGCATATACATGTATTACAAGGACTACACTGTTGGGTGGAAATATCTTCTGTACCGGTGACAGTTTTGGGGCAGAACGCTTCCAGAGCTCTGAGCCAAACCACCGTCTTACAACTGGGGAGGAGAGCGCCAGCAGCTCTAAGTACACTGCACGCTGGAAGAGTCATGCATATATTTAAATGATGCTAAAAAACTGCAGGAAGTTTGACAGAAAGAAAGAACAAGGAGCGAGAAGGGAGCTAGAGCGTGCGAAAGGATAAAAGTTGAACTATGTAACTTTTTTTTTTTTATCAGGGGTCAGCTATTGCTTGTTTCCATGGCGATGTTATTTATAGATTGACAGACATATTTGGCCGATATTTGCACTTATATCAGCTATTGGCATTAAAACTTTAAATCTTGAACACTTTAGTGCAAGGAAGTAACTGCACAAAACTACACAGCTCTCTTAAAGTTTGTGGTGAAAAGGGTTATGTGTGAGTCTGTAGTGAATTTAAATCACATAATTTGGAGAAAATAATGAGAATCAACTTTATACAGATTTTTTTTTTTTTTTCCAAATTCCAAAATATTGCACACTCCACTCCTTGCACAGTTCTCATCATTGCACAGCCCAAATATGTTGTTGTCTGTCTGGCCACACATTCAACACATGCAAATATGTGTCCATAGAAGATCAATTAAAATCACAGTGCAACTATACATGAGATCATGTTTAGTTTGACCATAACCAATTTTTAAATTGAGCTTTAAAAGAGCTGTATATAGGGCATTCTTTTAGTGTTAGTGGAAAACTATTCCACAGAGTTCCACCTTGAACAGATAATACATTCTGAACAAAGGTGTTCTGTCTATGGGGTATGACCAAGTCACCCCTGGTGGTGGCTCACGTGGTCCTTTCTAAAATGTCTTTGCATTTGATGTACTCTTTTAACAGTGATGGTGCGAAGGAGTAGCCAGACTGGTGCCACCTAGTGCCTCTGCTCAATTTCATTTCTCTCTAGTGACTAGGTCACTAGACAGTTTCCAAGAACCCTGGAAGTGCGAGTTCTGGCACCAGCCAATCAGCGAAAAGCCTTACTTTTGTGTTAGCAGTGATTCCTGAGATCGAGGATTTAAAGCCGAAACAAAGAGAATGTTTGGTGAATTTCATCAAGGGGAAAGACGTTATTGCCCTTCTTCGTACGGGATTTAGGAAAAGCTTAATATACCAGTTATCCCCGTTAGCGACCCATTACATACGTCATGTCCAAATAGTAGTGATTGGTTAAATGATAAAAAGTACCCGCCTACTGTTAAGTGAACAAATCGTAATGCTGCGAGGTCAAACGGCTTCTACAAAGTGAAACCAGCTGATGAATCAGGCTAGCGAGCGAGTGCAGGACCTTATAAATTAGACAAGCCCCCTTGATAATATCAAGCTTACTGCTATCAGTTTCTGTGGATTCTAAACACAAATGGCATAGGCCATAAAAAAACAAAACAAAACATACAGGTCAAGCTCTGATGTTATTGCTATGCCTGAAATGTTGCACAGTGTGGCATTAAATGTGTCTGTCTTGCATTTAGTCAACTGCATGTGTTTTAAGTGATACTCTGCAGCTGACATCATCAACATTCCCAGGGGGTCTGATACTAACTATAGGCAGTGCTCTGTCAGAAGCTCTATTAGACAAACATAATTTGACCATAAATAACTGACTTACTACAAGAGCTGAGCTGATTTGTGCTGTTAAAAAAAGTCCCTCTCAAATAATATTGGTCACAATCTAGAAAGCATTATTTTTTTGTCAGTTTTTTAGCATTTTTTCCGTTAGTCACGCTCACCTATCGATCACAGGCTTCTGAAAATGTGAGTTTGAGTTTGCAGACTCTCTTAGAATTTTTGACAATGTTTGCAGTGTGTCACCATGATAACTGCAAAACAATCCACCACAGAGTTACATTAGTGTGACCAGACGTCTCTATTTACCCGGGACAGTCCCAGTTTGGAGCCCTGTATCCTCTGTCCCACCAGATTTATCCATAACCATTGATTTGTCCCAGTTTTATATAAGAAATGTCCCATGTGTCCCTTTTTTTGACCAATTTGGTCCATGCCAACAGTAAAGAGAGGCTTAAATAGTAATTTCTTTAGGTAAAACACAAAAAAGCTGCTTAAAAATGATCAAAACACCAAGAAAATATGACTATACTGACTATACTGATGTTAGTGATGAATGGGCCGAGTGCAGAACAATTTTCTTTAATTACTCATTTGTTTCATCATTTTATTATTAGAAACTACCACAAACCGGGAGTGTCCCAGTTATTTATTTTGAAAATCTTTTCATTCTAAGTCACATGTAGAACAGCCCCAGTGTGATCTCACTGTCAATTTCTGAAAAAATAAAAAATAAAATAAAAATAATTGTAAACGGGGTAATCTCTCCACAGATCTGACCTGTAATCTGTTGCTCATCTTCATGGACAGTTTAATGCCATACTGTGTAGGGCTGGGTATCATTAAGATGTTGCCAATATGATACATACCTCGATACTGTGCACTTTCGATATGATATGATATACTTCAATACTACTTCGATTCAATAAGGTTCAATAAAAAATGAATGGTAAGTCATGGCTGTGATACTAAAGTCTTTGTAAAACCACTTTTTGTGCAAAGTAAATATGAAACACAAACATTTTAATCATCAAAACAGTGAAAATGTCAAATGTGTTGCATAAACGAATTTCCTTCCACTAAACAAACAAACAAAACTGTGGCACTGTAACAAAATAATTTAGTAAAATATACCAAAAAATACTCTTGGCGATATATCGATGCATCAGCCTATGATATCAATACTGTATCATCGCATTAAACTATACGATATATTGATTTTGATATTTTTGCACACTCCTAATACTGTGGGGCGTTCCTGGCAAAGCAATAACAACTACATGTGCAGTCGAGCAGATGGCAGAAGAAAAGTTACACAGAGTAGCTTTAAATAAACAGAGACGTGGGGTTTCCGGCGCTGACTGACTCCATTACACTGCGCAACCCTGTTCAGCCGAGAGCGAGCGGGGGCCCAACCGACGCTCGGCCGGCAGCTGACTTCCTCCGGTTAATCTGTAACATTCTTCCTGTCTGCTAAGGGCGTGTGTGTTAGCGTTAGCACAGGGTTTAAGGTTAGAGTCAGGGTCAAGTCCTGCAGGAACCATATGGAGCCTCGCCTCTGCTCTCTGCGCGCTCACTTCGCTTTGCATAGACAGGCAGCACATGTCGACACAACAGGTGAAACTCCAAACACAACTCCAAAGAGCCAAAACTCTGAAACAAACTCTGTACTCAATCTGTGGCATGAGAAACAAAGAGTTATTTCTTTAAAACTACTGAAATGTTCCTGCTTGGTTGCAAAAAGTCTGGAAAAAAAATGGATTGTGTTTATGTAATGTCATAGTCAAAGTCCAAGCCCTAGTCAAGTGTAATTACGAAGCTATTTTACAACAACTACAGCTGCCCAGTGTGCGAATATAAACAAGGACAGATCATTGTAATTAGAATTAATAAAAAGATTCAGTTCAGTGCCCAAGTTCTTAAAAGGCCCATATTGTGAGCTGTCTTATACTGTTATTTTTGTTTCATTCACAGCTGTTTAACACACAAACCCTGCGTATTTAGGTTGAGTTCTTCTCTAAAACAGAAAACACTCTGTTCAACCTTGTGATGTCATGTGGTAATACAGAAAAAGCTCCATACACCTTTCAG